TCCCAGCAGTTACTATCAATGCAGAGGTTGTCTGTGGTCCTGCACCATCTTACAAAGTGCAACTGAGAGCAGTGTACCCCTCGCTGGCACCCCTCAACCTCGTTACTCAATGCTTATTGCAAATCTTGTTGAGAGAGACAAAGGTGCAGGCAATTTCTTGAAGGCTATTATCTATACATTCTTTCCTGTTCTCTGACAACAGATCTGTAGTGAAGCTCCACCCTCAGAACACCAAACCGAGCCTGAATTGCTTTGGCCTTTACCAGGCCACCCTTTGGCATCCTGGAGTCTGAGGCCAGGTCGTGGTGGAGAGAGGCCAGAGCAGACCCTCCAGAGTGAATGACCATGCCAGGTGACAACTTCCAACAGCCCCATTGCTTCCTGGCTTTATAACCCTAAACCAGAGCTGCTCTCTTGCCTGAAGGCCTTACTCTTGAGGGTTTATGCATTTATAATTTTTGGAAAAATGAGGTTTGGGGATAGTTTTCTTTCCCTGCACGCATGTATTGTGTTATCTGAGGGCTGTAACAGAGAACAAGAGATATAACTGGCTTCTTCATAGGGATCTGAAGTTATCATTGTAAGTGCCTTAGATAAAAGGACTGGGTTGAATTTGTATCAACCCAGTAGTGTACTCACTGGAATGTTCTTCCTAATTTTTTTCTATCAACTTGTTTCCTCCTACTTTTTTCTCTTAGAAGTGAGGAAGAGATTAATAGTAGCCAACATTTCGCAAGTACTTATGGGCTAGATGCTGTTCTGAGGACTTTACATGCAAATTCCCTCGGAAGTGCTCTGATTGGGTCAGCTTGAGTCACGTGCCCCCACCCCGCCCAGGTTGACTGGATAAAGATTAGAATTTGGTAACTTTACTATAATCCCAAGGTCAAAGTGGAGGAAAGAGGTATTGCTCAAAAGGATGGGGACACTATTCATAGAGTAGGCAGGTTGCTGGGTAAATAAAACAGATGTTCAGCCCAACCCCTGTGGGAGGAAGTTCAGGCTCCTGAAAGACCACCAAGGACTCACAGTCCAGCCAGGCCCTCTGTATTCAGTAACTGACTCTTGCCAGTGCCCGGTCCTTAAGGCTCTCTTGGATTCATCTGAGAGCTGCATTCACGCGGGAATGTCTCCAAGAACTGCAGGTTTTCCCTTGTAGTATTTCTGGGAACACATGTCCTCCAAGTGGGCAGGTTTCCCACCTGAGTGTGGGCTGCAAGGCACCAGCCTGTGCCTTTTCCTCCAACCACTCCTTGTTCTAATGGCCATGAGCTCTGGGGAAAGCTTCCTTCTAACTGGGTTCTGGAGCTGTTTGTCCCCCATTAGGACTGCCCAAGGTGGGGCCCCCTGGGAACTGGTATCTGCCTTACATTTTTGTGAGGTTGGATTTTGGAGGCTTGAATCACTTTCTCTGCCCTCTTTTGATCCTATTTCTGGACTAAAGTATCTTTTGAGATGGCCAGGCTGTTGTCAGATATTCTTTTTTCCTCAAACTGAGATAAAATTCACCATTTTAAAGTATACAATTCAGTGGTTTTGGGAATATTGACAAGATTGTGTCACCATCACCAGTGTCTAATTCCAAAATATTTTTGCTACCCCAAAAAGAAACCTCATACTTAACAGCCCATCACTCTTGATTCTCCCCTCCCCCATCCCTAAGCAACAATTAATCGACTTCCTGTCTAAAGCAACAATTAATGTACTTCCTGTCTATGGATTTGCCTCTTGGAGACATTATATGTAAATGGAATCAGAAAATATATGGGCTCTGGCTTCTTTTACTAAGCATAATGTTTTCAAGGTTCATTCAAGTTGTATGTAGCATTTATTTGTACTTCATTTCTTATTTTTTTTTAATTTTTATTTATTATTATTATTTTTTTTAGGGGTTGGGGCTAGGTCTGAACCTGCCACCTCCAGCATATGGGGTCGCCGCTCTATCCTTTTGAGCTACAGGCACCGCCCCCACGTACTTCATTTCTTTCATGGCTGAATAATATGCAGTTGTACGGATGTACCACAATGTGTTTGTTGAACAGATAGTGGACATTTGAGTTGCTTCCATTTTTAATGAGCAATGCTGCTGTGAACAATCATGTACCAGTTCATATATGTGTAGACAT